ATACAACTTGATCCCTCATCTCAGCCGGCAAACCCTCTCTAAATTTAAAATCATTCTGGGTCACACTGTGATCCCTTAAGATTAATTTTGTCACAAGTCTGCTTCTTAACAGACATTTCAAAATTACCTTGGAAAGTGTCACTCTCTTGAAAGTTCCATATGCACCAAAATTAGAACTTTGGATCACTAAGATTAGCAGAGAGCATCTTCACGAGAAAACTTAGAGGTGCAGGCCCTGCTCTGACTTCAAATTTAAAGAGTCAGACTTGGATTCAGTTCAGAAGTCTCTTTTCATTTCCATTACAGACACTGCTTGATTTGTTCCCCAAGATATCTTGAGAGTTTGTATGTGCATTGTCATTTCATATCCTTCAGACACCTATAAATTGGGAGGCTGTAGCCACAGACAAATTTAATTACCATAGGGAGAAACAGGTGTGACTTTATGATTGACAGTTGCATGGCTGAGCTGTAAGGATCCCTGGACGCATTAGTTAAAAAAGCAAAAGAGCATTTCTGTTCACCCTGTCACAGTCTTTGTACTTTGAGAGGAGTAGTGTTAGTATCATGGGAAGTTTACTGAATATTATGGAACAATTACTAACTTGCCTCCCAATTCAGCAACTGGAGAAATACCAACCTGCTGTTGTTTGAATTTTACCCTATAGAAAAATTAAATGTTTTTGAGAGATTTATTTGGTAAAGGGGGTATCTGAATAGTCTCACTGAAAGTCATTATACCCCATAGTGAAAACCTAGTTACAGTTAGTCGAGTGCAGTGTAGATACTATATACTTGATGCTGACACATATATGCCATGATTTGCCTGAAAGTCTTTGAACAGTAAGAGTATGATTAAAGAAATTTCCTGTAGAGATGAAAAGATGTATCAGACATGTTCCTCGTCTCTGTAGAACTCTTCAGAGAGGAAAGACTGGGCAAAATCTGCCAGGAGAATATGGGCTTTTAACTAAGCCCAGGTAAGTGTGTACCTCACCCTATTGACATCTATATAACACCAGGATTAAACTAGAAATACCATCAGGGGCTTTTTCCTGACAATAAGGAACTTGTTTGGTTCCATGTTGAGTAACATTTAANAGCCCAGGTAAGTGTGTACCTCACCCTATTGACATCTATATAACACCAGGATTAAACTAGAAATACCATCAGGGGCTTTTTCCTGACAATAAGGAACTTGTTTGGTTCCATGTTGAGTAACATTTAATTCTTTAAGTAATATACCATTTATTTTATCTAATTTTTTCCTCCTCGTTTTTATTTTTCTTTTCTTTTTAGATTAATTTTTTGGGGTAGAGTTACTTTGCAACGTTCTGTTAATTTCTGCTGTACAGTGAAGTCAGTCAGCTATATGTATACATGCTGCTGCTGCTGCTAGGTCGCTTCAGTTGTGTCCAACTCTCTGCAGCCTTATGGACTTCAGCCCGCCAGGTTCCTCTGTCAATGGGATTCTCCAGGCAAGAATATTGGAGTGGGTTGCCATGCCCTCCTCCAGAGGATCTTCCCGACCCAGGGATCAAACCAGGGTCTCCTGCATTGCAAGCAGATTCTTTACCACTGACCCTCCAGGGAAACCCATGTGTATACCGTATATCCCCTGTTTTTTGGGTTTCCTTTCCATTTAGGTCACCACAGAGCACTGAATTCCCTGTGCTATACAGTAGGTTCTCATTAGTTACCTATTTTATACATGATAGTGTATTTATCTCTGTTCCAATCTCCCAATTTATCCTACCCATTTTCTCCCTTCCAGTGTCAGTATATGTATTCTGTATTTCTGTATCTCAGTTTCTACTTTGTAAGTTTGTCTGTATCATGCTTCTAAATTCCACATGTAAGCAATATTATACAATATTTATTTTTCTCTGACTTATTTCACTCTGTATGACAGTCTCTAGGTCCATTCACATCTCCTCAAATTGCATAGTTTTTCTCATTTTCATGGCTGAGTAGTATTCCATCGTAGATCCGTACCACATCTTCTTTACCCATTCATCTGTTGATGGACATATAGGTTGCTTTTATGTCCTGGCTCTTCTAAATAATGCTTTAATGAACACTGGGGGTACATGTATCTTTTTGAGTTATAATTTTCTTCAGGTATGTGTCCAGGAGTAGGATTGGTAGTTCTTCCTCTGTGTCTTAAAATATTCAACAGTTTAGTAGCATCCCAACAAGGGATCAAATAAAGCCAATAAAATGAGGCATTTTTAAGTAAAAACATTTTATAATGCAGTGTTTGAAATTCTGTTTGAAAAGTCTCATTAACTTCTAATGAGAAAAACCAGAGGTTCTAATGAGAACCAAAGACATGGTTCATTGATTTTTTTTTTTTCCAGAAGATTATTTCATTAAAACTAGGTGACATCGATAAGGGGGCAGTAGAAAAAAAAAATTGACCCATGAAAAAAACATAATAATTCAGTTAATAAAAAGTTAAATTCAACAGCGACACTGTAGGAGTGCTGAGCTTTCTTTTCATGGTTCCAGCCCCAGGGACAGAGGTTGTCCAGTGTCACTGTGGGGAGAGGTTTCAAGGAGGGGAGGGGGCATAATGACAGGAAGGAGAGGAGGGGGAGAAAGTCCTGCTGTCCCCAGTATAGAACGGGGAGGGATACAGGGCTGGGGGATGTGCTCGCAGGAGCCTGAGGAGGGGGTGGGGAAGCAGGGGCTTTGTCAGTTCTGCAGGTTTACGGCCCATGCCGAACGGAATCCCCCCTCTGTGCCCGGCTGTCTGCCACCCTGCTTTGTTGAGCCTACGAGCCTGGGATATGCTAACTCGGGGGTGATACAATCTGAGGCTCTCCTGGAAAGATGCGAAACCACTTCAGTTCTAAGGGGCCAAGATCGCAACAAGGTCCTGCTGCTACCTTGGATCTGAGCTTTGAGGACAATGTTCCACGTAGACATTTCTTTTGGAAACTCTATGACTATGATTGGGGCTCCCCTGGTGGCACAGACAGTAAAGAATCTGCCTATAATGCAGGGAACCCAGGTTCAATCCCTGGGTCGGGAAGATCCCCTGGAGAAGGGAATGGCTACCCACTCCAGTATTCTTGACTGGAGAATTCCATGGACAGAGGGTTACAGTTCATGAGATCACAAAGAGTTGGACTTAACTGAGAGACTAACACTGCCCTTCACTTCATGACTGTAACAGTAGGTTAAAGTTAAAAAGTGATCCTAAAAGAGCAAGTGACCTTAAGAGACTGGAAATACCATGTTAATATTGCTACTGTTGTTTAGTCATTAAGTCATGTTCAACTCTTTGGGACCCCCATGGATTGTAGCACGCCAGGCTTCCCTGTCTTTCACTGTCTCTCAGAGTTAGTAACTTAACACACACACATAGCAGGAACATTGTTATTATAACTCAGATTTTTAAAGTAATGACTATGCAGGATGGCATACGTAGCAAATAACTAAGTTAAGTTCCTCCCCAAAGAATTTCTACTATCTCTCCTTTCAATTCTGATCAGTAGTGCAGATCTTCATTTTAATTCACAGATGTGATTTCTTGTCTGATCACTAGATGGCATCCTGCTCCCCGATAGAGTTAAGCTGCTCGGGAATTTCCAAGTGCAGTTCACAGAGAAGCCTAGATGATGATGAGACTGTTGTACTTCCCATAGGGCTTTAATTTATTAAAATCATCAAAGCAACAAGTAGCATGTGTTACTTTGTATTCCAAAAGGGGGGTAATGATTAGGTTTGTAAACAGTATCAAGGAAACCATCACTACTTAGGAAGAACATAAAGTATGCCTTAATGAGGTAATTCAGGAGGTCTGCTTTACTTTCCAAAAACTCATCAGAAACAAGGAAACATCTTGTTCTTGCTTGGGAAACTGGATCCTAGTCAGTGAGCCATGTATTAAAGAATAGGAATACTGGAAAATGTTGTAAAGTGTACATAGTCATTTTCTGCAAACCAACTAAAAGATAGATTGCCTTCTGCATGGTCATAGGCAAACAGTCATGGGCTATTTACTGTTCCATCCCAAAAGGCCTTGCCAGACCCCTCAGAGCACAGGCCTGTACCTAGAGTGTCCACTTCACCTTCCTGAGCGAAGATGTATACTTGTTAAAATGGAGTAGAAGACTTCTCTGCAAGAAGTACTATTCATATCTATAAAATTGTAGACTTCTACAAAATTGAGTAAAAAGGATTCAAAGGAAATCTTTTTAATGCCCTTATTTTAGAGAAAACATGTCTGTGGCCATTTCATGTACTTCAGATATCAATGGACCAAAGTACAGTATGTTTGTGATACATTTTCACATTATGATTTCTAAATTATTTGTCAATAAATATTTAGTCTCAACAGTATAGTTTGGAAAGGTGAGTAGTTCTAGCTCAGAATATTAAAAATCCTTTGCTTTCTCTTTTGGCACATGAAAAAATAACTATTCTATAGAATTTTAGATCTAGAAGGATTTTTTTTTTTTTTACAGTTTTTAAACATAACATGTGACCCTTTCATTTACATCCTAGAGAAATTAAGTTGTGATGCATCCTAGATTTCTTTGTATTACATCATATTGAACAATTCCCTTTTTTTTTTTTTTTCAAAAAAAATCTGCAGTAATAAAATTTAAAATAGATTATGCAGAAAGAATTACTGATTTCATACAGTGCTTTTCAGGGTGGTGATTTTAATTTGGTGTTGGTATTTTAAGCACATATGCAAAAAAAATTATATATTTGGCTACATTATTATAATGTAGCTAACTACTCAGAAATTTGAAAGGAGTAATATTGGGTTATTGTCAAGTTTCAGAGCTGGATTTTTCTTCTTTGGTTCATTGACTGCATTGAATCTTTGTGTTGTGGGTGGTGTAAACATTTCCTTTTCATTCCTTCTTTTAGGAGTGGCTCTGGGGAATCATTAGGTAAATGCTTGTTGGTTTTCCATAATAATTATCTTTGAGCCTTAATGGTTTCTGGTTTTGGCCCCTCTTCATTTTCTCCAACTTTAGGCAGAAGTTCAGATGGCTTCCAGTTGGGAAAAGAATTCTCAATCCAGCTTACCATCTAGTCTCTGTGTGGTCTTGGCAAACTCTTCAGGCCTGGCCAGGCATGATGTTGCTGGCAGAAATGAGGCTGTGTCTCCACTTGGGCTCCAGCTTTGCCTTTTGGCCTGCAGACTTTCAAGATTTAGGGAGAGTCTGCGAATATGTGAAACAACATTTTCTCTTCAAGAATGTCCTATAGAAGTATGGAACTCAGCAATGTATTAAAGATCCTGAGTTTAGGAGTACTATACTTCTATGCAAGTTTTCTTGTAATTAAAATTTTTAACCATTTAGAAAGTACCTCGGGCAAGGAATTCCAGCACTTGCTGAATATTCCATGGGTAATGCTTTTAATATGAAAGATTTTTTTTTAACAGCAGAACAATAAACCAATACTTGATTTTTGGAAAGATACATAATTATCATGGCTGTTGTCTTTGTTAACTCCTATATGCCATTTTGTATTTTCATTGCCTACCATTCATCTTTCTAGACAAACAGGAGTTATCCTTTTGTGAGGTAGAGGAGTTATTGCTCTTTCATATGGTGATCTGTCTGCCTGATTCTGTTTGGGTCTTTGATAATTTCTTTCTTTGATCCTCCAGCTCAGAGGAGAGTGGTCAAGGCCGTGCTGTTAGCTTTAACCAGGATGAGAACCTGACCTCAATTTATATATTGCCTCTTATATTGGTGATTCTAGAAGGTAATTATCAATTAAGACAGGATCACTGATCATACTTAACTCCACTACAGTTGCCCAGGCTAAATAGCCAGAGCTTATACTTCATTTCTGCCCTAACTTCAGAAACACTTTGCATGTGGAAATATATGTTGAAACTGTGTGGGTATATGTTGGGTGTGTGTACTTTAAAATTCTCCTTGGAATAGTAACTAAGAGAGCTCATTGCATAATGATGATCTTTGCAGTGATTGACTCAAAAATATTAACACCTGATATAGAAGGGTTTTACCCTCCATTTTCTCTATTGCCTCTCTTCACAATTTCAGAATTAGTATATGCTTATCACATACATTAAAATAGTGGAATCCTGTAGTAACAACAAAAGCAATAATAATAGCTGACCGTAGGCATTTACATGTCAAGTACTCTCTAAATATTTTGTGTACATTAGCCTAAATAATGTTCACGGAAACTCACGTTAGAGACATGGTTGTTATTTCCAATTTTTAAGTGAGAAAATGGAGAAGCAGGTAGTCTGATCTGTATTCTTTACCGTAATGCTATACTATTTTCCATCAACTTGCCACTGCCTTTTCTGCATTTGTTGATGGGAGTGCAGTGCTGTAGAACTGAAGAAGTGGGGCACAGATTAATTTTGCAAAATGTGAGAGCTGAACTCAAGGAACACTTAGGGAATGGACAGTGTGCAGTGTTGTGGATCTATTTCTTTAAAATTAAGGATTTGAACTAGATGATCCCCAGAATACTGTGTCTTAAATGGTGGCACTGACTGGTAAAATACAGATACAGAGTTAAAATTATTTAATGTTTTCACATTATCTCACATAACTAAAAGAGGATGAAAAAAATTCTGAGACTGTGAGAAGGGTCTGTAACTTGTGAAAACATTTTTACACAGGGAAAAAAGAAAATTCTTATGGTCCATATTATGACTTCAAAATATGGAATGAAAACTGTGGTCTTAGAAATTTTCCAAGAAATATTTTAAGTGCTAAGAGGCAGTGTCCTTGTCCAGGACTCTCAGCAAGCGCATTGCATCCTATAGTCCCTAGTGTGTCACCGCACCAGTTCAGAAATAGTTGAAATTTAACCATTTTGTGGAGTACATTAGTGTGAAACCAGCTTTTTGAGGGATAGTTTGGTGACTTCAGCATGAGTAAAAGAGCAATTCATCAATCAACATTTATGTAAGTACTTATTTTAAACTATGCATTTATGTTGGATAATTAAATAGCTGCTGCTGCTGCTAAGTCGCTTCAGTCGTGTCCGTCTCTGCGCAACCCCATAGATGGCAGCCCACTAGGCTCCTCTGTCCCTGGGATTCTCCAGGCAAGAATTCTGGGGTGGGTTGGCATTGCCTTCTCCAATTTAAATAGTTATTTACATTCAAGTAAAGGGAATTGTTCATATGATCATAATATTGCAATTGTGTCTTTCTTTTCTTTTATACCTTAGCTAATTATATCCAGCAGTTTCTGATTCTATTTTGTCTTCTCAATTAACATCTACATTCCAAAGGAGTCAATGCCTCTCAGTTGCCTATTTTTCAGTAGCTGAATTAATTCTTACAGAGATACCAGCATTGACCATAAAAGTGATAAACATAAGTAGAATCCCAGAAGGATGTCTTACAAGCATACTGTGACTATACAGCATTAAAGAGGTTGTTGATAACACTTTCTATTACACATAGCCTATTAACCATTACTTCTGCTTTTACATATTTATCGTATTTAAAATTTTCATTAATTTCAAAGTGTTTGCTCAGTACCAGTTTAAAAATGCCAAAGAGATTTAAACTGCTATAGTCAATCATATGTAGTCTTAAGGATATACTTATTCTCAACCCTTTAAGGTTTAAGGATGGGTAGGATTTCTACAGAAGTAAGGACAGTATAATTACAGACAGTGTGGAGAACACTGGACAATGGCCAGAAACAGGCAATTTGGGGAAAGAGCCAGTGGCGTGAGCTCAAGTACAGGATGCAGAGTTAGCAGGCGCATGCTGATGGAATGCTGTTGGAAAATCCATCTGAAGTGGTTTTATGGGAGCATAGTCTGGGTGTGTGGTCTAAGAAACCATAAGACTGGTGGATTAGACTGGCTAAGAGGTAATGTGTCTATAAGCTGATGACAATCGAAAGACTGAGGACAGATAGTAGAGGTGTTTCAAAGAAGACAGATAGTAAAGGTGTTTCAAAGATATTATAATGTATTACGGAAATTAACATGGTCATTAACAAAGAGTGAGACGCCCAAGGTGATTCTAGGGCTCAGGCCTGAATAACTGGGAGAATGAGGAGGCAGGACTACAAACAGGGAAATCAGGAGAAGATCAAGACTTGAGAGATGATGAGGCTGGGAGAGATTTGTTGAATTTGAATTTTAGCAGGTGATGCAAGTAAGTTATTCCTGACTTAAAAGTGAGGTCAGGGTGGAGGTATGAATTAGGAAGACATTTGTATTATTGGACTTTGAAGCCTTTGAAGTGGTTGAGAGAAACTTTAGAAAGGAAAGAGAAGGCTTAAGGTTAAATCTTCAAAAATGGAGCAGGAAGTAGATGCAAAGCTAGTGAATAGAGATGAACCTGTGTAGATAAAGCAGTGGGAGGAGAACCAGAATTGTTTGATGTCCTGGAAACTCTATCAGAATTTCATAAAGGGGAATAAGCAGTAGTTATCCAGCCTTTAAAGTCAGCCTGATTAATAAGTTGTGGCACTGTTTTGAATCTCATGAGAGAAGAGGGATGATTTTAGCGATTTCCATCTTCTCCAACACTTTTCTTTTAATTAGACACACACAGATGGGGACTTGATGTCAAATCACGTTCAGTGCTGTAACTCTTCTAAATGTAGCAAGCACCAGTGATTGCCTCTCTGCTATCTATTTTATCTCTTCTTTTGCCAAAGATATTAATTCTTCAGATGCCACTCTTCTCGGGGAAGGCAGTCTTATCTCCCGGTGAGGGGTACATTGAATAGTCTACATTAATCAGAATCATCTCTTGTTCCCCCAAAGTGGTTGTTTTAGTAATGGACGAGTGACACAGTTCTGGAGCATTAGGTATGAAGTAAGTTTGCTGGAGGGCTTTTTAACTACAGATGCTCACTGCAAGCATTTGTTCTGTGATTTGCCACGTCTGCAAATGACCTTAGTGCTATGGTAGTCATCTTGTGGCCACTAGAGGAATCCTGGCACATGGAGGATGTGGAGCGGAAACATGGAAAGGATGAGCCCAGGATATTACCATCATACCATGTAACCAAACCTGTAGTCACCAGTCTCTAAACTTTTTGCCGGCTGAAGTGTGATATTTCCTCATTTTTAAAGCCAGCAGTCATAGTTTTCTATTATTTGAAGCCAAGAGCATGCCAACTGATATAAAATGTAAGGTTTTCATCTTTAACTGTATTCTTGTCACGTGAAATTGCCAAAGCCTCCTGGTAAAGAAGGCCCCAGAGGAAGGTTTGATGAAAGAAAATATTTCCTTCTGAACCAGAACAGAAAGTTTTGGCAGGGAAGCTGAGCAAACCTAGTGAAGTTTCTCAGGCTAGCTGGCAATGTATGCGTTCTGCTAAATGGCTGACATTTAATAAATCAAATTTTTGAATTGGACCAGAAGTTGTATTGGAATGTGGTATTCACTCAGATCGTGCATTTCATGGAGTTACCCTGTTTTTGCTTTTTATTTTGGCATTTTCTCAGCCGTAGTCTGAACAAACACATTGTTCTTTGCACAGCATCTAGGCCCTACCTTATGCATTTTTAATATACACAGTGAAACCGAGTTCTCTATCATCTGGAAGAAGGTACCATGATCCATCTTGCAGAAAAGAGCTCAAATATCAACAACAACAACAAAAAAACACAGATTTCACTTTGACTCCAATAATATCTATCATACCCCTAACATAGACTAATTATAAGCTATCATTTTCATTCTTCTTAGGATCCAAGAGTTAGGAGGGTTGAGGGGACAAATTCTCAAAGGATTGTGAACTCTATCTTTGCTAGGACTTTTTACAATTCAGTTGTTTACTTTTTTGAAAAATCTACCACCCAAGAGTACTTTTTGGTAACAGTCATGCTATGTATTCCTATGAATAAAAGGCACAGTAACTGCATAAAAAAACAGTGAGTGAGCTATTTGGTTCCTCCTTGGATACTTTTTAAAAATCCGTTTAGTCAGAGACCCTTTATTGCTCATTGAAAAAATCCAAAAGATTTGGAATTATGTATAATAAATTCTAAGTAACCATATAGGATTCCTTTTTTTCCCTAAAAGAATGGCTTTGGAGATTTTTGTTGTAGTTACTGTTATTTTTTTGGGAAAGGCCCATTAAAGAATCCAGCTAATATTAAGAGAATTAATCTTTTTGGCATTTATAGTAAGTTAGATCATTTCAGATGATCTTCACATTAAATACAGTAATTTAATATGCCGCAATAATTATGTGCTTCTGTACCTAGGCAATATATAAAGCTATACAGTCATA